TAGAATAATTTTTTCTGGACTGGAGTGACGTCTTCAACGCGGTAGACATATAAAGAAGGCGGTCGAGGTGCTTGAGGAAAAGATTCTTGCAGTGATGGATAAGCGCATGCCGCAAAAATCCGTACGCATGTCATCGCGTGACCCAGTTTGGATGTCCCCATTAGTCAAGTGTATGCTGAGGACTAAGTCCCGTATATCATTAAACAACAAGGAACGCCAAACTTTATTTAACAAGCGCATTTGTGAGGTGATAACCGAGAACAGAAGAAAACCGGCTCTCATTGGTAGCGGTGATTGGTGGAAGGGCGTGGACGCCCTATCGCAGCGTCACAGGTCATCGTCGATAAATTTGGACAACAACTCTCTCGTTCGTCTGAACGACCACTTCGCCAACCTGATGACAGCTACGTCAGACCTATTGATATGGATATCCCGGACAGTGTAAAGCCCCAGAAATATCTGAGCGGTGTGTGTGGAACACTTTAGTTCATGTAAGAAAACGACAAAAGGAGGAGATAACCTCCCGTAATGGATCTTTAAAGACTGTGCTGAGCTACTCACACCTGTCGTTACTCACGTTTGGAATTTGTCGCTGTCTACTCATACATGGCCTGACTCTTGGAAGAGGGCTAAGGTTAATCCTCTCCCCAAAGTGGACATGCCTTTAGAGAACTCAGACTACCGTGGTATCAATGTAACCTCCGTTATTGCGCGGTTGTTTGAGAAGGTCGTGTATCGTACGCAAGCACAGTCAGTAATTGAGAACAATCTGAGCCACACCCAATTTGCATATAGACAGGCGGGTAATTGCACAAATGCTTTGCTCGCTATCCAGCACCAGACATACAAATATTTAGACAGTAGTGACTGTAGCGCAGTGCGAATTTTTACTACGGACTAAAAGTAAGGCTTTCGATTTTGTGAACCATACTATTTTGTCTACCAAACTGAAACAGCTACCGCTAAATCCGTACATTATCAATTGGTATCAGAGTTTCCCCTATGCAAGACAGCAACGTGTTGTTAGCTATAATTTTTTAGGACATTAGAAATCTGTCAATAGAGGAACCACACAAGATAGTGTAAGCGGACCGTATCTTTTTAATATATTTTTGAATGACTTGGAGATTTTCTTTAATGGTTGCCCTGTTCTTTTTAAATATGCCGATGATTCCACTATTCTTTCGCCTATCACTAGAGCCCATGACCCGTCTGCCGACCTAGTAGGACATTTCTTAACCTGGTGTGAAGACATAAAATGGCCTGCAACCCTTGTAAATGTCAAGAACTGGTTGTTAGAAAGAAAAATCACAATGTACTCTACTCTCCAATTAACAATATTCCTCAATGTAATAGCTTCGTTTTACTAGGAGTAACTCTACGGAGTGACGGGAAATTTAATGAGCATGTAAGAACCAAGCTTGTCAAAGCAAACAAAGGTTTTTTGACACGTCCTGCGAACACTAAGAAAGGAACACTACTCCCAGTCAGAGATAGATCACCTTTTTATATGTATTGTTTTACCTAATTTTAGCCATGCGCTTTCAGACTACGGGGCATCGGAGTCCGATCGTACGGTTACACAAAACTTTTTAGACCGATGCCATAAACGCCGTTTTATTTCATTTCTAGTTTTTATCAAGAACCTTTTAAATAAGCAAGACCGAAACATTTTAAAGAAATTAATATCGACGGGTTGCCACCCCCTGAAAGATATCATTCCCGTCCAGAAGACTTACGTACATTATCTTAGGAAAAAAGGCTGCACACGCCCAAAAATTAATACACAGCGTTTTATGAACACCTTTGTAAATAGGTTGATTTTTAAGCTCCATTTATTGTAATGACAAACTATTTTAATATATATATATGTAGATAATTTATCATAGTTTTTTTTATCTTCCGTATTATTGTAACATAAGATATTTAGTTTTATCTTTTGATGAAATAAAGACTTTTCATTTATTTACTTATTTATTTATTAGTCAAATATAAATCCCCTAGTCGTTCAAAGCTTAACAACTTGACAGGCTAACGGTTCTATTTGGTGGTGGTATAAACAGGTTACAACCGAATACTGTCAGGCTACTCAGTCACTTCACACACTGTCCATCACGGAATTGATAGCGTACAGCATTACCAGCATAGCACTAGCACTGTACATAGACAATCAGATTTGTGATCCAAGGCCGGTAGATTTATACATCTAAAAATTTATACTAATATCAAATTCCTAAAAGTATCCGGACACCAACTTTATTCAGTGTACATTTCACAGCTGATTTTATTTTTTTTAAGGGCAAATAACAATTTACTTGATAAGAATTTACAAGTACGAGACTTATTGTGGCGTAGACGTGATTAGCGTTTTTTTTATTTTACCTCTTTGAACTCCAGTCCACATTTTCTTAATTTTTCTTCAAGGACTACCGTGTACCATCGTCCGATATATATAGTGTAAAGGGGAATGTGTGAAGGACCTTCTCGCTGCAAAATGTAAATACTTCCACCTGTCACTAGACAGGAGAAACATGGTTCTCGTTAATGTTATATGTAAAACAAAAATGTTGGTTTAGAACGTGATTGAAGTATGTCGAATAGCGTCTTCCAGGCGTTCAGACTGTGGGGGCGACCCTCTGAGAGATGCGAGTAAGAAAAGGGCGATGGGGTGGGGTAGGGAGTAATGCGTATTTTTCCCGACCCACTGTACTACCAAGAAAGCAAACTACTGGGAATCGAACAAAGGACGGCCGGCCGAGACTTTTAATACGAAGGTCAGTGGAAAAGTAAACTTAATCTTCTATAAGCTTAACCTGTTTCCGATATTTCTTGTTGATGAAGTAAAAAAAAAAAACAGAAAAATTGTCATTTGTACGATCATGAAGAATTTTTTTACTATCACAGCGGCCGGTGTCACGCAATGCGAATTCAGCATAAATATGTAAATTTAAGTCGAATCCTTCAATTCTGAATCGTGTTGTGCCACAAGTTTTATTTCATAACTTAACAGAATAGCTCTTAATCTGTAACTAAAACATGTTTTTAGGTCTATTTTAGGTGCCACTTTTGAGAATTTTGTGATGTTTTTGAGGCATTAATTCGTGCGTTTTGCTTTCTTAATTGGGTTAGTGAAATAAAGACGACCAGTTTTTTTTACAGAAAAGATAATGCCTAAATGGTATTGGAACAGTAAGAAGAAGTAATATGCTTCCAAATGAGTGAGAACAGTCTAGGATTTGATGACCAGAAGTACTTTTAAACGACTGTTGAAAAACCTGTAAAACGGCATCTAAAATTTGCATATTTTAGCCGCTAACGGTTGTCCAGCAATGAAATGCTGGGAATGGCAGTAAAATAAACAATTTTCTCATTCTAACTGCAATTTCGTTATTAGGATGGATAGTAGTGTTGATGATAAAAATATAAGGCAAAAGTTTTTTCGAGTCCGAAATCGAGTGGAACGCTTTTAGGGAGACTGCCTCTGTCTTAAGCTGTCAACTCCTGTCAAGTGCACGAGTCACGTAAGGTCGTCAAAGGGCAAGACTATGATAAGCCAGATAAACTTTAAAATCACATCGCTTTTGCGTCCAGAAATTGGATTTTACCGAACAGAAAAATGCCTACGAGTGTATGTTTCACACCTTGGCATGGGTTTCCTAGATGCTGGAATGAAAAACATCAAGGATAGCATCGGAGATTGCGTTACTTTTCACAGATTGCCCTGTAGCCACCTATTTTTGGGCTCGTATTTCGACGCAACGCTCTCGACTGGCATGGCTCACGGCACTAATACTTTATGATCAAGGTCTGAACTCTCCTTCACGAGACATTTGACTGAATTTACAGGAAATATGCCAACACACCAACTACAAGTCGAGCATTTGCCGGGTATTTGTCGTTTTTTCTAGGAAAAGTTCGAGTAAGCAGATTCACATAAAGACCATTTGGCTTAAGAAATGTGTTTTAAGCCTACCCTGAATATGAAGCCACAAATATTTCCTCGAAATAAGCTAAAAAATGCCCAATTCACGCAGTGAACAAATGGATGAAACAGGATTAATAGCTATGGAATTTTTACCTAACCTGAGGGATTTCCCGATATGTAGGATGGACCCAAAGAGGGACACCTACCACGTTTCAAAAGTGTCACTGGTTTAGACACTGAGCCTGTACGTATCTTAAGTAGGTGGTGAACCGCCCGTACAAATAACACGTTTCATTTCAATTAAGACGCGACTTAGCTATGACGCGTCCTACAGTAAGAAGAGCTTGCCTATTAATAGATAATACGTTTCTTAGCTGAGACGAAGAAAAACTCGAATATAAAATGACCTATAGCGTCAATTAACGGTGCGCCATTGATTACTATTTTCCTTGCAGGTGCAGTCCTCTGTGCAACATATAAACAAATAAGCTGATAAACACCCCTTTTGAACCCCATAAACTCCGTCATTTTTTGAAAAAATCTTATAAAGTCTCCCAAAAAATTCGGATATTTGTAGCTAAGCCGGAGCGTTCCCTGTGTTTTTCGGCCCTTTTTCGACATGCTTTTATCCTCGATGAAGTCCTACTCATGACCGACTGTCTGTCAATCTTCTTCTGATTTTTACAATTTTTTTTCCGTGTGTAGTTCAAAAATAAAATTATGTTTTCTTTTATTGCTTTAAGTAAGAGTTTTCGTAGGTAGAAATAAGACTCTCATCAAACGTTTAACTTTGTTAGAGGGTGGTAACCCTTATGCTAGGCATCATGGGAAGGGGCTCGAGAGAGCGACCTTCTGTCATGGCGTTGAGTTGCGTTGCTGTCTCGTTACTGTTAGAGCTCTCACCGAAACATGGTACCAGGAGTGTGAACAAACGCTGATTATTCTGCTGCTACCGTTCTTCTATCGATCTGACTTTCTGTGATATTGTTTGTCTGTGAGTGTGGAATGTCGTCGATCGCTCAAACATACTGCTTGAGAGCTTCGCGCCAAAACCCTGCAAAACCACGAGTTAAACATGTGGGAAGAAGGAGCCGAAGCTGCGGCCCCAGCTCAAGATCAAAATCAGGGTTTCTTTACGGGTAATATCATGAACCTCGAGCGACCCAAGTTCGATTCCCGCAAGGAGAATCGGCTAGAAGCATTAAAAGCCTTCAAAAAGAAATGTGGTTACATCTTCAAAGGAAGTCTTGTGAATATTTCGAATGAAAGAAAATGTATTTTGGTTCAAGATTGGCTTGGTCCTGAAGGTCAAAAGATATACGACAGCCTGGACTGGTTTGAAGGTGAGGATGTAAACGACTATGATCTGATGTGGATCAAGTTGGAGCGAGCGGTAAGTCCAGAATGTAACGAGATTGTTGCTTCTAAGAAATTTAAAGAACGAGTGCAAAAACCTGGGGAGACAATAACTGTTTTTGTCACTGATCTGCTGCTGTTACTGAAAGACTGTAATTATGAAGACGAAGATAGACAAGTGAGAGATCAGTTTGTTTACGGTGTCTCTGTTGAAGAACTAAAGAAAAGTTTGCTAGAAAAAGGAAACACTCTCCCAAGAGTTGAAGCTATTACAATTGGCAAGGCTTATGAAAGTACAAAGATTGAAGTCCAAGAGTGCAGTGCAAACCGAACTCCTGCAAAAGAGAGTATAAAAGCTGTTTCTAAAGATAAGCCCAAGAAAGTCCTCGTGTGTAATTATTGGTCAAACAAAAAGGGAGCTCATAGCCTTTCAGACAAGAAACTCTGCCCGGCCTGGGGAGCAGTCTGCAGAAAATCCAAGGCCAAAAATCACTTTCAAGACTCAAAGGAGTGTAAACGCGTACAAAAAGGAAAACAGGAGAAACACTCAGATCCAAAACAATCAAAATCAACCTCAAAACCGTTTGTACTGAGAGTAGAAGAAGATGGTGAGGATCACTATTATGAAGTTCTTGACGAAATCTGTGTACTTAATCAAAACTGTGATCACAAGAAAGCTTTTGCAAACCTACTGCTGTCGAAGAAAAGAATTCCTGTTAGCTTTCAGATAGACTCTGGTTCAACATGTAGCATTCTCACTGTGAATGTATACAAAGAAATCAGTGGAGATTATGATCTCACTGACCTTAACACTGTAGTCAAGCCTGCTCTGTCTCTATGATGAAGAAACCAAAATTCAACCCTGGGAACCAGAAAAGTCATTGTGCTAAATCCTGCAACCAGTGAAGAAAGGATAATTCAGTTTAGAATTGTTCACATAGACCTAACACCTCTGATCGGTCTAAATGACTCTGAAACACTCAAACTCATTGAGCTCTTACGAGAGAATATTGCTGTAGTAGCCCCAGCTAACCCAAGTGTCCCTGTAACTGCCAGTGAAGTGACAACACCACTCAACTTGGAGACCATTCTGACTAACTACCCTCAAGTCTTTGATGACAGTATAGGAAAGTTTGAGGGCGAGCTACATCTTCACACAAGTCATGATGTCACTCCTCACAAAACAGCTCCTAGAGAGACCCCTCTCTCTGTGAAGAACAACTTTATTGCTGAAGTAAAAGTAATGTTTTCCAAACTAAAAACCAAAAAGAAACACTAATCAGTCATGAAATTCCTAACAGACCCTGGTCTGATATTTTTGAATGGAACAAAGAACACTATCTTGTTCTAGTTGACTATTACATTGACTGGATTGAATTTGACTTGATGAAAAACCAAACTGCATGTGAAACCATTAATCTAATGCAAAAACGATTTGTGAGATGGGGAATTCCTGATGAGATCGTCACAGACTGTGATAAGAACTGTAAGAACTGCGACTCAGCCGAGTTCTCGCAATTCTGCCAACGAAAGAAGATTAAACATACCAAATCTTCACATTGTCAAAACTTTGCTGAGCAAAGCTGAGAAAACAAAATTGAGTCCGTACGAAGCATTACTTGACCAGCACAACACGCCTACTGCTGGCATGACAACATCTCCCGCACAAAGATTCCTAAACCGTCGAACAAGAACTCAAGTACCTATGAAAGCGACATTACTGACACCTGAGATGACAGAAACGGTGTTAGCAGAGGAAACTAAGAAACACCAGAAATCTCAAGCCCATTATGACCGCACTGCTAAAGACTTAAATGAATTTAAGCCTGGAGATACCGTTAGAGTCAAGCCTGAAGGTCTGTTGAAAGGACAAGAGTGGAAGAAAGGAACTGTCTCAAAGAACTGTGGATACCGTTCATACGATGTTAATGTGGATGGTAAACTGCTCAGAAGAAACCGTGTACGTCTTAAGGAAGATCAGCAAGTCAAAGTTACGGAACCCTCAACAAAATCTGCAGAACAGAAACCGACAGCCAAAGACCTACCTGTCGCTGTTGTCGAAAAAAATGGGAAAAAAAAAACAAACCACTAAAAGACACTGCAAAGGCTGCAGAACCTGCTAAATGCAGTAAGATGGAACTTATTACTGTTAAACGTACACGTTCGGGACGCTTAGTGAAAATGCCGCAAAGATACTCTAGTGAAACGTTAAATTGTAAATTTTACTGGGGGGAAGGTGTTAGAGGGTGGTAACCCTAATGTTAGGCATCATGGGAAGGGGCTCGAGAGAGCGACGTTCTGTCACGGCGTTGAGTTGAGTTACTGTCTTGTTACTGTTAGAGGTCTCCCCGAAACAAACTTATTGTTGCCTCTGTAATAGATCTCAGAATGCTAGTGTTGTTGTTACCGACAATTGCACTCATAAATGAGTCCTTTACCAGACGGAAAATGTGACGCAAACTACATGTATGTACAACAGCTTCTAAGTAACTCAAGACCCGCTCTTATAAATGAGACATTTAGCGTCTTATTTAAGAAGCGTTGTCAATCTGTTCTGTGTGTGATATCAGAGTATTTTTTGTTTGTTTGTTTTTATACCCTTTCATAAAAGGTTTTAACGGTTCATTTCTGGCGGCGTTTTTCGAAATTCGTTAATATATAGATTTAGCCACAGCTAAAAGCGAAGCTCCCATTGATAAACAATAATTTTGTATTCCACAAATCAGTTAACTTAAGGGCACATTTACGTGACTTTTGAGGGAAAAGCTAAGTGATTTTGGAGTAAAACAAATCTTATATCGAGTTGATATAGCCTTATATGTACACCCACAAAATAGTCTTCGGTCACATTTAAGAGCAATAATGGCTCTTGATCACAGTAGATAAGGCGTGGAAAACAAATTCTTGGAAAACAAATCCGACCGAATTTTTTGCGTTCGACAAGTTTACAAATTCTTGCCAATAAATCTGGGTGCGTGCAAACCATTCTTTTATTTTTTTTTAGACACCACATCTGAGGAGAAAGAGTACTATAAGGCGCTTATCATACAGACCTCGTACAAAATGCAGTATTTCACAGTTTTTCAAGACAAATTACATTCATTCAATACTCAGGACAATCGAAGCACGCGTGGACTTTTAATTAGCGAAACCGTTCAAAAAATGTCCAAAATCACCTATACGGCCAGCCGGTCCTAACTTTTGACAAGCGCCAAATTTGCGAAGAAATTTTAAAAGAGTTACGCTTCAACGTGATAAAGAATTTATGGAGTCTATTTTTTATTAATGGTTTTATAACGATGTGTAATCTTAAAAAGCGTTTGACTCGGCATTTTGAGTACTTTCTGCAAGCGATGTTTATGAACGTCTGAAAACAAAAGGCAAAGCGATGAAAATTACACTTTTCCGAATACCAAAAATGAATAAAGAAACATAATTTGGTAGAACATTTACAGAGACAACAATTTTCATTCACGAAAACAAATGAGTATTTAAGTGTCTCTAAGAATCCTCAAGTCTTTACTAGTAAGCTTAAAGATTAAGTTTATGTTTTAAGCCGCCGGTTTCCCAGTGTTTGCTTTTTTCAAAGATGAACTCACGACAAGAAAATCGCTCAAAGCTCTCTTTCTACAGCCAAAATTATAACTAAATATTCTTCGGAAAGTTTTTTCTTTCTATTTACGGTGAATTAATATCGACCAAAGGCCTTTTAAAGTTCTCTAAGCTTAAGCCTATATCAAACCTCATACTAGGTCAGATCAGTGTCTCGGTTAAATCTTAATACAAACGTGCATAAACTAGCTTCATAAACTGCGCCGCTGGACTTCATGAAATTACGATGTAAATACAATAATTACTCAGGCTTACCATATTTCGAGATGCAGCTCCTGAAAGCTATCAAGTAAGGCAAGGATCGCTTGACCCTTTATAATTCTCGTACGCATCTAGCAAGGTGAAAAACAAAAACGATGCTATCCGAAATCGGATTATCGGCTTTGACAAGCGACGCATTTGTCAACCAAAAACCCAATAAACAAACCAGCCATAAATAAGAGAACACTCTTGATAGCAGCTGTATTTCATTTCTTACATCCAGTGGAAAAAGACAGTTAAAAACATCACAAGTTGACTCAAAACTCTGTCAACTTCAGCTGTCAAAGTAAACAACTTTCAAGATGCTGCATAAATTTTACGCATGAACTCACCTGTCAAATTTTAACCAATCAGAGCATAAAAATTGGACGTGGAGCGTGACCAACACGTGACCATGGTTAGAAAAGGTCTTCCCCGCCTGTATTTTAAAAAAACTGGCTGAATTTTTGCGTCTGAGGTCAGTTTGAAATCAAAATCGTAATAGTGCGTGGCGATACTGACATAAACACAACATATTTGATATGAATTTTAAAAAAAAGTAAACATGAGCCTGCGATCATTTGAAAACGAGTAAATTGTCAGCAGATAACTTCAAAAAAATACTCTACCTTGATGGGTCGACACCTGAGCCCGCGATACGGTCAGGTGATACTGGTCAGCGGATACCCTGTCTTGACCGCTGTCAATTGATGACAACATTGATGTGCAATCAGCTTTCTCCTGGGCTCCCAAAGTAGCTAGAAAGTGTGAGAGTAAACATTGGTATGCCTGTGGTGCGGACGGACGGGCAGCGGGCGGGCGGGCGGGCGGTGTACGGTCACGTGATTACCAAATTTTCTGGGATGGGTAGATTTACTTACCCATGGTGCTCCGCAGGCGCGCTTCGCGCGCCGGAGCTCCGCTATCAGCACTGGCCATATCGGAGAGTTGGTATTGTGTCTCTCCTTGCTGAAGAGGCCGAAGACTGAGAGTTTCTGTAACTAAAAAAATAATCCTTCCCTGGATACTATAAAGTACCGCCTACCGGATTGCTTGTTTTCAGAAACCCATAACCAGCTCCTGTTGTTGTTTGTTTCAGTAACAACCAAAAACAACACCTAAAAGGAGGCACACAGTTTGAACTAACCAGGGAAAAGGGACTTCTGATTTTCTTTAATGTCATTAATGCAAGGCTCAATCAGAATTGTAATATGGCCGCCGGTCACAGTGTTTTGACCAGCGCTATCCATTACCTTCTTCCGTTTACTAATGATTTGTTGTAAGTTTTTGACTTGGCTATTAATTGCCTTATTGTTAAGTGATCCATTTATCATGCTGACGCGAAATGCTAAAACCTCTATGAATTCTACTGGAAAGGACGCCAACAATGGAAAAGACGCTGATCCTTCGAACACTGAGTTCGTTTCTCTTGCGACTCTGAGAGAGATGCTCCAGATACAGGAGCGAATGTTTAAGAACATTTTTAGTCGATTTTGTCCTCCGTAAATACCAGAATTTGCAAGGTCGTCAAATCTGTCGCTGAATTGAAAGCGAGCTTGGAATATTCACAGCAAGATATCGACGACTTAAAGGAAGCTGCAGAAGCCATAGACGACATGGACGAGGAACTTGAGGACATCCATTGTGGCCTACATAAACACGAAGGAAAATTGAAATATCTCGAGAACCAAAGCCGAAGAAATAATGTCCGTATCGATGGAATTCCCGAAGAAGACAACGAGACCTGGCTGAATACTGAAACATAGGCGAATGAAGTGCTTCAGGAAAAGTTACAATTGAGCTTTGAACTGGTGATTGAGAGAGCGCATCGCACTGGAACAAGATCAAGACCAGGTGCTGCTGATGGTATCAAAACACGCCCAAGAACCATAGTGTGTCGTCTACCTGATTGGAAGCAAAAGGATGAAATTCTTAGAGCCGCCCGAAGGATGAAACCGTCTGGTATGTTTTTGAGTGAAGACCTTGCAAACGAGACTATGGAAAAGCGGAAGGCGCAGCTTGATAAAATCAAGGAGGCCAAGAGAGCTGGGAAAATGGCATATTTTGTGTTGGACACACTTGTTATAAAGGACAGACGTAGAGTAGAGTCCAGCTAAGTTCTTTCATTTATTTACCTACTCCCTTATTATCCACTTAGTAACGATAATATGTCCCCAAGAGAGGATAAAGGGGACAGAGAAGGCATCCCCCATACACACCCTATTCCATAGGTAATTCGTCTCGAGTTATTTTTAGAATCGGGATAAAGTTACCTCGCACTCTGCGTGGATGTTTCGTGGAGGTTTCGCATGACTAAACGCCGTGCAAAACATGTCGGGCGAAAGGCAATGAAAGCGTAAAGAGATCGAGAGCATTCCTGAATATTGACGCGAAATGAGTCGGCGCTCACCTGGGAAAAAGGAATCG